AAAGCAATAGTTAAAATAATCAACAAATGTTACTGGTAGATATTTTCCAGATTTGGTAGAATTTTTTGAAGTGGATGGTAAGTATTTTTTTTCATCAGTGGCAACCCTGGCACATATGTCCATCAGCATATCAACGAAGCCCGTTTGTTTCATCATACATATATCCATACAAACATAGGTATCCGAAGCACGCTTGCTTCATTCAAATATTGCTTGGTAGCGGCAGAGCTGAAATCACTGTTGCCAATTTGGTGCTTTTCGCACTAAATTTAGTGCTTTTCTTTATTAAAAACGCAAAAATTTTAGCGTTTAGTGCTTGGTGCGTTTTTTCGTGCTTTTCTTTTTAGATTGAAGATACCAAATCTGTAAATCTTAGCAAAGAGGGGGCAAAACTTATAGAAATCGTAAGTTTTGTAAGAAACTTCACAAAAATCGAAACAAAATCATGTCACAATGACAATCATAAGCGAGAGAGCATATGTTTACCAACAAAATATGTGGCAGCACTTTCAATCATGTCAAAATTACATTCGGTAATTCGCCATTGCTGGGACCATAAATCTCTGTTTAGTTCATGGCCGTAGCCAGAACGAAATTTAGGGGGGCCTCCTATACCACAAAAAAAAAATTCAAAACCAATAACTTACTTACTAAAAAATTTTTTACTATCGCTTAAAATTATTGTAACCAATACAGGTATGTTGTACAAAAACACATAAACAGATATTCACGAAAGTTGATATAAAACTATTCGTCGATTTAGTTAGATAGTTAACTTTTTACTTTATATCTCATCAAAAATTACAACTGTCGACTTAAGCATCAGAAAATTTAATTTTAATTACGAAAGAAATATTGCTTCATTTAAAATTGACGTAAATTTAGATAAAATTAATGCGCTGCTTAGTAGTTCTTTTTGGCCCCGGAGCTTTCCTTCGTGAATTCGAATATAGGCCCAAAAAAGTAAATAACTTAGCTAATATTCCCCGTCATAACACTGAATCAAAAAACTAATTATTAAATCTGCTTTAAGTATTTATTACCAAAATGTAAGAGGCTTAAATACTAAATTAACGAACTTATACTTTAAAGGCCTTGAATGTAATTATAATATTCTTTCTTTTACTGAAACTTGGCTGAAACCTCACATTTTCAATTCAGAGATTCTTCCAAATAATTATCATATCTATAGACAAGATAGGGAGGACAGAATCGGCGGCGGCGTACTCTTCGCTGTAGACTCTTGAATACCATCTGAAGAAGTTAGTCTTCCACACATTGATTCAGTAGAGTTCAAATGCATTCGTGTACAGGCTGGAAAAGGGTCTATTTACTTAGCTCTGTGCTATATCCCTCCCCGATCTGACACATTGGTGTATTCACGACTCATCTCTTTACTGAAATCAGTTAATTTACTGATTCAATGATTGTGTTGGGTGATTTTAATTTACAAAGCATATCATGGAACATCATTGACAATGATATCATACCTTTCGCGTCTAGTGCGTGCAACAACGTATTTTTAGAGGAGATGGCTGAACTCTGCCTAACTCAGGTTAATGTACTTCACAATAAGTTTGGTGAAGTATTAGATCTTGTTTATGTTGATGATGCATCTAAGTCCGTTGTAAATAAGTGTGATCCACTAATTTTGCCCGAAGATGTCTACCACCCTGCTATGGAGGTATCTTACGAAGTTATAAGTGATGGTCAAAATTGCAGTACCCAAGCATACGAACCAAATATTCGCTTTGATTTTTCGAAAGCCAACTTTAAAATGCTTAACAAAGAACTGTCTAAATTGTCGTGGCCTGCATTTATAGAAAATATTGCACAAAGCGTTGCACTTTTTAACTTTACCTTACATAAATTATTTGAAAAGCATGTGCCTAAACGTATGTATGTTTCTGAATTTGAAAAACAGAAAGTCGCGTTATTTTAGATTACACAAAAAACCGGTTTACACTCATACTATGTAAAATACTCACTTTTGCGTCATAAGTTTTTTGAATTAAACAAAAAGTGTTATAAAGCTTACTTCTGTAAAATCAAACGGCGTATAATATATAACCCCAAATCATTTAATGACTTCGTAAACTCCAAGCGAAATGTACGTGGGTTTCCTTCCGCCATGAAGTATCAAAATACCGTCTCTAGTGATAATCAAACAATTTCTAACATGTTCGCTCAGTTTTTTAAATCCAATTATTCCATTAACACACATGCTAACATTGACTACCCTTTTAAACTATGTCCAATGAACTCAATAAATATCCCAGTAATATCTCCCGATGATGTAGTAGTTTATCTGAAATCCTTAAAGCGGTCCTTCAGTTATGGTCCTGACCAGATCCCTACTTGCATTCTTATAAATTGTTCGGATTATCTCTATGAGCCGTTAACAGCGTTATTTAATTTATCTCTTAAAGAGGGCGTTTTTCCAACTATATGGAAGGAATCGTTCATAACCCCGTTACATAAAAGCGGTAGCAGATCTTTAGTGGAGAACTACCGGGGAATAGCTAAGCTTTCTGCAATTCCTAAATTATTTGAAGCAATTATAACAAATCAGTTGACGAATTCTATCTCTTCTAGCATTTCATATAGTCAACATGGATTTTGCAAGGGCAAATCAACTTCTACAAATTTACTCGAATTAACATCCTATATCTCAAAAGCATTTAGTGAAAGCAAAACTGTTGATGTTATATATACTGACTTCAGTAAAGCATTTGACAAAGTGTGCCACTCGTTGCTCATCTACAAACTTGATCTTCTTGGTCTTCCACCTAATTTTCTACGTTGGATCTCTTCATACCTCTATGATAGATCACAAAGGGTAATGTTTAAAAATACTATCTCTGACGTCATTGATGTTACTTCAGGAGTCCCTCAAGGTAGCCACCTAGGCCCGGTTCTGTTCTTGCTTTTTATAAACGATATTTCTACAGATATACAATTTTCCAAAATTTTAATGTATGCAGATGATGTAAAGCTTTATAAATCGTACGTTTCAATTAAAGAAAGGTCTTTGCTAGAATCAGACTTAGACAGCATGGCTTACTGGTGTCAAGTAAATCGTATGCCTCTAAATCTTAAGAAATGTAAAGTAATGAGCTTCTCGCGAAGAGCTGTTCATCCCACTTCTTATACAATAGGTAACCATAACCTGGAACAGGTATACAATTTTGTGGACCTTGGTATCACAATGGATCCTAAGCTTAATTTTAATCTTAATATTAATGTGACAGTCAACAAGGTTAAAGGTGTACTTGCATTTGTGAAACGATGGTCAAAAGAATTTTGTTACCCTTATATCACTAAAACCCTGTTTACAACATTAGTTAGGCCAATTCTGGAATACGGTTCGGTGGTTTGGAATCCAAGGTATCAAATTTACTCAGACAAGATAGAATCAATTCACGAACAATTCCTACTTTTTGCTTTAAGAAATTTCCGTTGTGATTCTCAATATAACCTTCCACCTTATACGAGCCGATTAAAACTTATTAATCTTCCTACACTTTCCAGCCGCAGGCAAATGCTTGGTACAATTTTTATAGTTAAATTACTAACAGGCTCAATTTCAAGTCCGCTTCTTCTTGGCGAAGTTAGCCTTAATGTTCCCTCCCGGGTATCAAGACACTTTTGCCCCCTATTTCTGAAAGCTTGTAAAACTAATTTTGAATTGCACGACCCACTCCGTTGCTTATGCCAGGATTTTAACTCTCATACCAGCACGTTTGATATATCAGATCCGCTTTTCAGCATTAAGAAATCGATACTGTCCTCTCTCAATAAATGAATCATTAAAATAAAGACATAAAATCGGCTGATGAATTTAGTTCTGTAGCTGAACAGTTTTAGATCTCTACACTTAACAAACTCCTGCCTATCGTGACTCGGCGCAAAAATTGAAAATACTGGTTCCGTACGTCATGCGGACTGCGCCCCTCGTGCGGATGGGCGGGAATGGAGGGTAAAAACCGTTGGGATATTATTATTATGTTTATTCTACGAGGAGGAAGTATCGAAAGCCTAACCACGTCAGTGTGAGACTTTAACGAAAACTAAACTTCCTACCGTCATGTACCGTTTCCCTCCCGGTACCACCGTCAAAGATTTCGTCGGGATTATAACACTGTATGACTGCTAAAGTTATAGATCTATTGAAGCACACAAAATATGCATACTTATAATTTTGAATACCCCCTCAAATCTGGACCTAAGGTCTAAAAACGCGCCTTTCATAGGTTGAGCCTTATAATTGTTCGTAACTTAATTTCTGTTTATCCGATGAAAAATATTTACAGTGCGTATTCCTTGATTAGTGCAAGTCTCTAAAGCAAAACATTGTAACCACGGTTGCCACACGAAAAAAAATTTTCTGACCTGAATTTACAAAAAAAGTTTCCTAAAAGTTACCAAGTAAAAAACCACGTTTTATTATACAATAAACTGTAAAAATAAACCTCGTTTATTTGCCATGAATAAGACATGGGGACAATAAATAGTTTTATTAAAATAAAACTAAACAAATTCATTTTACATATGAGGCCACTAGGGCCAAAAAATTTTTAGTAATATGAGAAAGAGGGATCTATAAAAAATAAATGCGGTCTTTTACTACATTGCACCTACGTGATGCTACATATTATAATAAAAGAAAACGAAAAAGGGCGTGCCTCGGCCTATTGCCGTTTCGATTCTGGTAATTACGGTTACCAGACGTACTGATTTTATCAGTACACTCAGAGAAAAATGGCATTTTAAAAACAAAAATAAAATTTTTATTTTTCTTTGCACGTTTTAAATGAGGCCATTTTCATTTTAAAAATGAAAAATTTTAAAACAAAGTAAAATATTTTTAAATTTAAAATGTAATTTTTAGAATAAAAATGCATTTTAAATTTTAAAATGTTTCATATTTGATTTGCTGCATTTTGAATTTTAATACGAACATATTTGTTTTAAAAATGTCATGAGTTTACAACTTTCAATACTTAAATCAAAAATGAAAAGCTTCACTTCCAATAGAAACGTTTTTATTTTAAACATGCTCATAATTAAATGTATGATCACGCTCATGCATGTGCAAGAAGAAGCAGTTGGCTGAGTTCAGTTATTCTTGTTTGCTGTCGGTTCGGACCGAAAAAGTAATTTCGTGTATTTCCTTTGATATTTTGTGAACAAAATGAATAACTCGTTGCAAATTGGACATTCTGTTTATAATTTCGATAACGCTGAATCAGAAGAAGTGTGTGAAAATTTAGAAGGAGTTGTTGTTGCTACCACACCAGTTGTTGACAATGACGATGAGGAGAAGATGGTCGAGCTGCTAAAAGAATTCGAAATGGAGAATGTTTTGCCATTCCTAAAAGGTGAGAAATGACTTAATAAATTAATATTTTAATCAACTTAATTAATTCTCTATTATTATATCCGACCGCGATCTGCAGCTTCGCAGATAACTTTTAGAAGCCTTAAATTTCTTAGAGGTGCTGACCTAAAGGAAGCCATTCCGCCGCTGGGTCTACGTGTGGAGTTTAGAGAGAAATTATTCATGTGGAAGAAGAAAGAGGTATGTATATGTTATAACACAAACTGTTTTAGGTCTCATAGGAAACTAATCTTGGAATCCTACAAAAAGAATCAACATTTGACTAACGGGAACCGGGACGACCTCATAAGCGTTGTCATTGACGAAGTTATTGCAAATGACATTATACTAAGAGGGAATGATTTTGTGAATTTGCTAGAGCAGATAATAAATCTCTTTCCAAACGAAAAGGGTGCCCGGGTAATCTATTTATTATGAAATTGTTAAAATATACATTTTATTGTACTGCTTATTTTTCCCCCAAGGAATACTATTATATTCCGCGCAAGGGTAAAAAATGCCCTAGTGGAAAGCTGTACGGGAAATACGTCAATCAACGCAGTAAGAAAAGGAAGACAATATACCTTGAACAAAACACACCATCACCTGCTAGTACTAAGACTAATCCTTCCACGAAAAATTACGAAGTTCCTGAAATTTATTTTACGATGTGTAGAGCATTAAAAGCATCTCTCAGTAGAAGCATTGCAGATTGGAATGAAGTCAGAGATAAATGGCAAAAGACATTTAACTTGCGACAGAATGACATAAAGGAACTGACCAACATTGATTTTCTCCAAGCGTGGCCCAAATATTCTGATTCGCGGGCTCCTGACTTGGTAACAATGAAATTACGTACTTAGCTCGCAGTTTTACTATACAATTACACATTACAGATAAAACTTGACTTCAACCTGACAAGGAGGATTGCTTGTATTCGAAATGGGAAATGTTTACGGAAAAAATTCAACGATTTTATGAAACTAATCTACACAACGATTTCTGCAAACAGCTCTTTTCTCTTGCTAAAGCTTCAACGAACAAAGGTAAATACAGATCAAGTGTAACAAAAAACTCCAAAATCAATCGGCTTTCGTTAATTTCTTAAATTTTGTTTAAAGATACGCAAGACTACATTCTTACAACGCTGCTGAATGGAGTTCTTCCACCTTCATCAAGGTTTCAAAGTTCCTGCGGAAAGCTAAGAAAGAAAGCAACAATAGCAGACTCGCAACAAAGCTTTGTTTTACGATTAACTTCAATCAACGATTACGAAAGGAAAATTACTGAGTTGATAAGTATGTACTATTCTGCAGGAATGACAATACAGCCTTTTATAATTGTGGAAGGAATAGCTGAGGGTGATATAACAGGATTTTATATATATTTTGATAAAACATTGTATAAATTTGATTCGTTTCTAGAATGCCTAGATATCTGTTTCAAAATTTTTCACACTCTTTGCCTAAAATATCCTCAGGCATGTGAAACTTCTTGGGTTTTTTTACAACAGTTTTTTTTGGAAATTTATACTGAATATGACTGCAAGCCGGCAAATTTAACGTCTCTTTTGAATTTTATGACATATAATTAATTGCTTTAAAATGTTTATTTGCTTCGAGTGCCACAAAAAATTTGCAGAAATTGATACCTTAATATGTCATTTTAAAGTAGATCATAAGCTTTCTACGAAACTTTTACCACTGCAATGCAAGCAAGATAACTGTAATCAATTATTTACAAAATTTACTTCGTTCCGCAATCATTTACAAAATACTCATACAAAATTTAAAAACACATACGAACCAAACGTAACTCCAACTGAAGCTATAACGATACCGATTTTAAGTAATAATTTAAGTACGGAAACAGAACCTCAAGATGTTGATAATTCATCAATGCAAAATATTGTTAATGAAACTAAAAATCTAAAGAAAAAGGCACTGTATTTATCTTTAAGTTTGTATGCTCAAAACAATTTGCCTAGGAAACAAGTAATCGATATTCAGACTATGGTATCTTCTTTGCTTTTGTCCGTATCCTTTACTATTCAGCATGTATTAAGCTCAGAGGCTATCAGTGATGTCAATGAAGACTTACAATTATTGCTAGAGTTTTGCAAGAACCCATTTCAGGAAATAAGTTCCGAATATAGGCTTTTAAGATATTAAAGGAGCTTAATTTATATGAACATCCAAAGACTATAATCATTAAAAAATCTGTTACTGAAACAACAAAACACGGGAACCCAACCTTAACTCCTAAATCTTTCGACATATATATTATGCCTTTAAATTTTCAGTTCAAAGCTATTTTTGAGAGTCCATGCCTTCTGGAGAGCACATTACAGAACACAGAAAGATACTTGAAAGAAAGTAGTATACAGAACTTTGTTAGCGGCGAAATATTTAAATCACGAAAAGATAAAATTCAATCTGAGTTAGTTATACCATATATTCTTTATTTTGATGATTTCCAAATCAACAACGCGCTTGGCAGCCATACTTACTCGATATGTGGATGCTATTTTAGTTTTCCGTCAATGCCAAAACATCTGTTATCAAAACTAGAATACATTTTCCATGGAGCTTTCATTTCAACAAAAACAGTTAAATGCAGTGGTGTTGAGAACTCGTTTTATTACCTTGTAGAAGAGCTAAAGCTCCTTGAAGAAGGCATTGAAATTTTAACAAAAAATGGAAATAAAAAAGTTCATTTTATATTAGGTTTAGTAATAGGAGGCAATTTAGCCGTTAATAGCATAATGGGGTTTGTTCAATCTTTTAATTCTAAGAGATACTGTCGTGTTTGCACTAGGACTAAAGACCAAATGAGAAACGATGTATCAGAAAAACAAGAAGCTTTGAGAGATGACGAAAGCTATTACAAAGACTTATTAGAAAATAATTATCAGGAAACCGGAATAAGGGAAGTTTGTGTTTTTGATAGCTTGAAATATTTCAATGTGACCGAAAATTTTTCATTTGATTTAATGCATGATGTTTTCGAAGGAGTTTGCATATATGATGTTTGTAATGTTTTGTTAAGCTTAATCAAAGATAAGGTCATAACACTCGATATTATAAACAGCAGAAAACAATTTTTCCAGTTTGGTAAAATAGAAATAGGCAAAAAATCTCCCCATTTAGAAGCCGGTAGATTAAAAACTTATAATCTAAAAATGTCTGCTTCTGAACCACTAATGATAGGAGACTTGATACCACGAGATAACGAACACTGGACTTTTTTTTAATTCTGTCACAAATAATCGAATACTTATTAAAACCGCAGATTTCCACTGACGAGCTAGTTTGTTTAGAAGAGCTGATTAAATCGCATCCCTCTATTCATATTAGGCTTTTTGGGATATTAAAACCCAAACATCATTTCCTTGTGCACTACGCCACAGCTATTAAAAACTGCGGACCTCTTAAATACATTTGGAGCATGCGTTTTGAAGCGAAGCATAAAGAAGCTAAAGTATATTTTACAAGCATAACATCGAGAATTAATCCTCCATATTCCTTAGCAATAAAGTCCAGCTTAAAATTTTCAAAATTTTTGTTAGATAACGAAAAATCATTTGAATCAATTATTAGATATAAAAATTACGAAATTTTAGATTTGACGAAAGAATATTTTCCAAAAATAAGTACAAATCAACCCATTAATTTTAAAACTGTAATATTTTTAACCGAAGTACAGTATAAAGGCACTTATTATAAAAGCAATTATTATTTACGTTATAATAATCTTGAATTGTTTAAAATTAAATCGTTTTTGTATCAAAATAATAATGTTTATGTTATATGCTATCCGATAGGTGTTAAAAGCTTTGACCAACATTTTCATTCCTATGAAGTTGGCTTAAAAGTAGACGTATTGAATGTCATAAATATTTCTAAGTTTACAAGTCAACCGTTGCTTTTATATTCTATAAATAATGGAAAAACATACGCAAAACCAAAATCTCTGTAAATATTGTATTTATCATGTATTTATTTTGTAACAAAATAATAGATACTCGGCTTTTTGACCAGTTTTGACTATTCTGTTTTTTGACTAATTTTCATTTATTTTTTTATAAAGGCTCATCCATAACAAAAACCATATAAATCCGAATTTAAACTTTGTACAAAAATTCAACAAAAACTCATTAAAATTTTCAACTTTTTAATAAGAGTTGCTAGAAAGACTTTTAGTATGCTAAATTTTAATACAATTGAGGGATTCACAACGGTGTCGTAAGTGTCGTATTGTTGTACGTCGTAAACTTGAAAAGCTTAAATAAATGTCTGGAGAACTTGAAACCACAACCAACAATTTTTAAACACTGCGAAAATTCATAATATCACTTTGACGGTACTTTGCGAACCCCCGTAATATATTTTTTAGGCGTTTAAAGTTTACGACATACAACAATACGACACTTACGACACCGTTGTGAATACCCCAAATATATGCTAGCCTGAATTTGCTGAAAAATTCCGTTGATTTTTGATAATCTTTTTTACGGTGTTGTGCATTTTTTTCCGTGACAAAAAAGATTATCAAAAATCAACGGAATTTTTCAGCAAATTCAGGCTAGCACATATTATATTAAAATTTAAAAGGCTATAAAAATGCATGCTAAATCTTTTTCTGAAACTCTTATTAAAAAGTTGCAAATTTTCCTGAATTTTGTAAAAAGTTTTAAATTTGGATTTAAATGCTTTTGCTATATGATTAGCTATAACTTTATAAAAAATAAATGAATATTACTCAAACAACAGAATAATCAAAAGTGGTCAAAATGTCGAGTGTCTATTATTTTGACATAAGGAGGGCCGAAAATCCACTTTTTTTAAGACTTTTAATGGTTAATAGCAAAAATCTGTGCGAAAGATAAAAGTTGCGGTCAATATCTTGGGTCGCACAATATGAACTTTACTAAAGCTGTTTTCGGCCCACCCCATGTATATGACCGTTTTTATAGGATCATTTTAGATTTAAGTTTTTATTTCTCATATTAAGTGTGTACCTACAAAATGTATACAAACACAAATTTGTACCTTGACTAATAATTTGTGTATGGCTTAAAAAAGGTGAATAAATAAAGAGTGGTGAATATAAAAAAACTAAAATGTTTCATTATTAAAACGAATACACACAGTTTTAATTTAACAATATACATNTATGACCGTTTTTATAGGATCATTTTAGATTTAAGTTTTTATTTCTCATATTAAGTGTGTACCTACAAAATGTATACAAACACAAATTTGTACCTTGACTAATAATTTGTGTATGGCTTAAAAAAGGTGAATAAATAAAGAGTGGTGAATATAAAAAAACTAAAATGTTTCATTATTAAAACGAATACACACAGTTTTAATTTAACAATATACATATTTGATTTGATGTGAATCATATTTGAATTAAATATGAATATTTTTAAATCAAGCACATTTGTTATTTGAATTAACAAAAATCAAGCTTAAATCAAAAACGATTATTGTTATATTAAAAATTAAAGTTTTCGATTCAAAATTTTAGTGTTTAAAATAACGTTGAAAAATATTTAAATAAAATATGTTTTTACTTGATTTTACAATGTTATAACGCACATTTTTAAAGTAAAAATTTTCATATTTACGTCACTTTTAAATACGTTTTTGCTTAGTTTAAGCACGTTTTCATTGATTTTACAATGTTTTTTCCCTGAGTGTACAGTACTGATTTTTCATCTCTTGTACTCATTTTATTAATTTCTTCAATCAGTACGCTAATGTCCTGATTTTTAAAAATTTGTACTGATTTGTTCTGATTTTTCAATTCAAACAAAATATTTTAGGATTTTCCTAAGGTTTTTACATAACGCTGGAACTTCCTTAAACTGTACTGTAAAAAGCAAAAAGAAAATAATTTAATTATAGTTGACATGTTACAAATAATTTTTGATATGCCCAAGAAATTAATACAACAAAAAGATCAATCGTTTTATGGGCATATCGACGGGTCGTTACGTACCAGTTGATGGAGCTTAAATTTTTTAAAAATAGGGCTGACGTTTTTTTGTCGAGTGTTTTTAGTTATCTCGAAAATAACTTTTAACAGTTAAATAACAACAAATGTGAATATTCGAATGGCTTTTGCCTATAATTTACAATTCTTTTTTCACAATTCACTGACATTGTAAACGAGTTTTGCATACAAGGCATAGAGTTAGATACTCTTTTTGGCGAATTCTTAGTCTTTAAAAGTTTTTGCGTAGTTGAAAAAATTAATTTAAGCCATGAGGAATTATAGATGAAGTCCTTAAATAGTGGTATTTTACCACAGTTTGAAAATATATGTAATTTAGTTTTTTTTTTCAAATACCACATTCAAACAAAGCAACTGAGAGGATCTAAGTATAAAGTTTGCTTCCTGGCGCAAAGAGAGAAACCGGCTTCTGATAAAAATTTTTTAAAGTGAACTGCAAATTAAAAGTAAGTTTAAAATTAAATGTATAGGATTTTTTTACTACTTAAACACTGAAGATGGAAATGATCTCATTATGATTATTGGAAANTTTGGTGTGAAATAAAAGTATAAGCTTTTGTGCAATATGTTTATTTGTATATGCATATGAAGCATATTTAACTGATGAAAACATAAGCATTGGATGTTTACATCAATCTCATAGTAGTCGTATTTTAATTTTGAGTCATTTTGCAGTTTTTATACAAATAGCACTNGGCTTCTGTGTACAATGATGTGTACACTCATGTTAAAGTGAATAACACTTATTTTTGATAAACAATATTTTATTTATGTACCAAAATATTGTTAAAAACAAGTACTCTGACGTTTTATCTGTTACTTACATTCATAATTTTGATTTGAATAACAATGTACTGAAAAGTACTGACTTTTTTAGCATGAAAAAGTATAACGTACTGATTTCGCGCATAAAAAATCTGGCAACCCTACTGGTAATGCATATTAAGGTGCAGCTCAACTTTGTTTGAAATGTCAGTTAAGCTACTCTGGCGCTCAAGGCCTCATATAATAAATACATTTACGTACATATGTATATAAATATAGTTTTATTCAATCTGTGATAACGTACGTGTATAAAAAGGATATAACAAAAATTTGCGAAAGAAAGAGCAACACATAAATATTTTTGCAACGCACGCGTTTAAAAATATACTTTTCATAAAAACGCGCTTTAAGCTCTTGTCTTTTGAAAAAAAATCTACTTAAGTGCATATACCGAAGCGCTAAAGAACCCAAATACACCGCACAAACTGCTGTTCAAACCAGGGTTGTTGCGAATATTCGGATTCACATTTGCAACCGCGGAGCTTCCGCATTAATTTTAGCATTCGCATTCGCAATAATCAATGCGGAGCTTTTGCGAATGCAAGTGTTGTGCAAGTGTACCGATAAAACGTATATCTGGCAAACAAAATGACAAATTGTAGCCAATTTTTTTTTGGTCGTGTTACCCGGGCGCCGCACATTGGAGTATTTGTGTAACAGAACTGGTCAAATGTCATATTTATCAACTTTGATAAAAGTGTTTCTAAACATATTATTTCTTAAGCTATATAACCGAGCTATCAATGGGCAGATACATGTTCCCACTTCTACTTGACGTACGTCAAAGAGAACATAGTCCTTCATGATTCCATAATACCATGATGCAATAATACAAGGTGGTATCAGTTGTGACAGCTCGACTTGACACTGCCTTAGCTCAGTAGAATAAGAAGAAAAACGGGAAGAAATGAATCCCCATTTGGGGGAAAAATATAAAATTTCATATTTTCTTCTAAACAAAATTTGCTTTTTTATAGTATATTCGCAATGAAATGAAATAAAATAAGATATAATACCTTTTTGAGAAAACAAAATGTGTATACTGAGAAAAAATAAAAAAAATTCAACTATATTTTTACAGTACAGTACAGTAACACGGTTTCAACTAAGGCAGTCAATATGGCGGAATTAGAGCGAGAAGTTGCCAACCGATAACACCTTGTATTATTGCATCATGCAGTTGTCTCTCTCGCACCGCTCCCTTAGCAGTGGCACCGTGTTGCTTCTTTGCAAATTTACATCGAAACAGTGTAGCTTTGGTGTTAAATAAAAGTATAAGCTTTTGTGCAATATGTTTATTTGTATATGCATATGAAGCATATTTAACTGATGAAAACATAAGCATTGGATGTTTACATCAATCTCATAGTAGTCGTATTTTAATTTTGAGTCATTTTGCAGTTTTTATACAAATAGCACTTAAATTACGTAATTCACGTAGATATATCAATATTACGTTCAACATTTCGTTTAAAATGCCAGATTTCCTGCAAATACATTCGAATTTACAAAAGGAATTTCACTACTTATTGCCTACTTTANCGCACCAAGAGTTTTCATTCTTCCCCTTTCTCCGTCCTTCGTAAATGCAACCTTTTGTAAGGGAGTGTCAAACCGCAGCTGTCAATAATTATCTAACCTTGTATTATTGAATCATGATAGTCCTTTTAATAATATTTTTTTTTTCTGTTCTTTAAATATTTGCGTTGGTTTCTTTCTTTATTACGATTTTTTTGGACCAATCTTAAAAAAGCTACTAGACATAAAAGGGGAAAGTGTGCACT